AGAAGTGCAAGTGCAGCCCGTGAGTATCTCTAAGATCGATGAGGAGCGTACCTACACCCGGAGTGACCCCGACGGAACGGAAGCCCCACAGCCGAACCCACGCTCAAAAACGACCTCATTTCGCCAATCGGGCGAAAGTGGGGTTGGCAGCGGGGGTGGGAGCAGTGGGAGCAGTGCGACTGCCGGTGGGCGTCACTCGCCTAGTCAAAGTCCTAGTCTTAATGGCTCGTCCACACCCAATCTACAATCCGCCAACTCTGACTCACCTCATAACACGTCCTCCATCCAATTCTGTAAGTTTTCGCAATTTCCTGCCAAAAAATGGGCTTGCTTTTTCAAATTTTTCGTGCAACTGTGCTCCCGTGTTATTTATTTCTATTTGTAAACTTTTTTATTTGCATAATTTCATCATCGTACATAAATACCTACATTCCGTCACTGGAAGTAGTCATGCTTTCTTTATCGTTACGTTATCATCGCCCATGGTTATCATGGTGCCGCATAATCAGTGTGTGTTTAATCCGGAATTTTTGTTTTTCTGTTTGTCAGTTGTTCTTCACTGAAAAAATAAATAGATTGCATAATTTTTTTATTTCGGGGTCATTACACGTTCAAAATTTGTTTATGTATGTACGTCTTCTTTACGTATGTATCTGTTGGCAAGAAAATGATTTTGTCGTTGTTATTTATTGTCATCGTCCAAAATGGGAACGTATCGTTCAAAAAAGTTATTGTCGTGTATTTATCCTCCTCTCTCTCATCGTGATTGTGCTCTGTTCGTGTTGGAAATTTTCGTGGCACAATTTTTGCAATATCTATATTTCCTTAATCGGGAAACCTAGAGAAAAAATCATTGGGTACGTTGCTCACCACAGATAAGCCTCCTCTGCCAACTACCTATGCCAAATCGTCAATTTCTTCTCTCCGAGGCTCAGTCACCCAGTTAGCGAACCCTTTAGTTTTGAAACCTTCCAACAATAAGGGGATCGATGCACGTAAGTAAAAGCAAAAAAAGAAGAAGCTGGGCATATTTATTTTAGCTTAAAAATCGGGACGCTTTTTCTCCTCATTTTTTAAACCCATGACATATTACGTCTCATCATTCATTCATTTCATCACTTGCTGGACGTCGTATTTACACGAAATAGCCCAGTAAAACAGGAATTAGTTAATCCCGAGTAAAATCCGTACGCATCACGTCGCATAAAACCGGCTTATTTCCCTGCTCTGTTATCTCCTGCATACATAATTACACGGATTGACGGAATAATTTACTGTAAATGCTGTCATCATCACCTATTATAAATTAAATCGAGTAGCTTTCTCGCCTATTTGACCACCACCACCACGACCAGGCTATCAGTTCACTACATCTGCTGTGCGTATGTAAATGTAAAGTGAATCGAATTCATGCAAATAGATAATAATTAGGCAACCAATTTGTCTCCTATCCTATGTCGGCACTTACATGGGACGAAACAACAATAATAATGTTAATGTCAAGCCCTGTCATCCAAGTGGTCGATGGTAATGATACTGAGTCATTGATTTAAATTGATCCATTATTACGGTTAATTCTGAAATTTGGCTGCCTCTCACACTTGGTGAAAGTGTCACCTAAAAGCAGGTTTATTAATGAGCACGGAATTTCTCCACATTATCGATTAGTACATATTCTCAAGTATCAAGTTGGGCAAACGTATGTACATAATTCACGCAGTCAGTCCATCCATCCATCAGTGGGTTGAGTGAAACATTTATTCAGCAAAGTAAACGCTGTCCATAATAAATGTCTCGTCTCATTCTGCCTCGTTTACTACTCACTCACCGACTTTTTTATGATGACTTTCTCACCCTCTTAAATATTTATCTATGACTTCACAATTTGCTTGACTGACATTTATACTCTTTTCTTCCTCTTCCACTTAAACACGAGGGGATTGAGCCGTAAATGTCATTACGTGTATTTCCGTCTCGGGAGGAAGGACAAAAAAGTTTTGTGATGATGAGAATGAAGATTTAAAAACTATGTGCTAAACTAATCTCTCTTTCTTTCTCTCTCTCTCTAAATATATATAATTATTTATGTTGTTGGCCCATGTGTACGAGAACTAAAAATATAAATACATCTCGAGAAAAAAAGAAGATTTTAACCTTGAACTCACTCGGTCTTTATTTTTTGGCCAAGCGAAATACAGCAGGAGGAGAGCTGTGATGTCAAAAAGTCAATGTTTTTAAACAACCCAACCAAGCTCCATTCCTTCTTCGTGACGATGAATATAGTTGTACAATTTAAATTATTATTTATTATTGCCGTGGGTGGTAGGAGAAGAGAAAAAAGAGGTGAATTAAATAGTTGAGCGGTGTGGCGAGGATGTATTTTTTCTAATTGGATGATTTGTAAAAGTTGCAATTGAAACACACGCGAATTATTTGCAAAGGAGAAGATATTGCACACATATTGGCACGAATTGGAAATCTTTTGGTTTTGATACGTCTCTGTCTCCTCATCCGTCATTGTGTTTGGTTCGTGAGCGAGATTTGTGCTGCTGCTGCTCCTCTCCTCCTGCTCTAGTTTAGTTTAGTTTGTTTGTTTGACAGGAAAAGTTTTGTGGGATCAAGATTTGGCAAAAATGTGGAGATTTGCTGTAAGGAAAAGTTCAATCTGCTTTAGGAGCAGGCGAGGAGAAGAGAATAATGTGGACTTGGAGATATGTACACATACTTTTTTTTCGTACTTATGGTGGAATGATGTATGTATATAGATTGGAAATAAATAAATCCGTGCATGTAGAAAGAGTTCAATCAGTGAATAATACATATATTCGAGAGATGAGGAATGTATGTATGTACTTACTTATTTACGTAAGAAGTTATTCATGCAGACACACTTGTTATTGATGATGAATCCTATCTGAATGGATGTTTGTTAAGACGTATGGATATAAATTTAGGGTGAAGTATGTAAATTAAGAGAGATAATATGTGGTATGTACCATATTATTCTTAATGTGCAGCCAGCAGAGGACCGAGATGAGTGACAGTGTCCAGAAGGTTTCTCTCTCAATTCGCAATATGTGCATAATTAATTACCAAGTTTCCCCAATTACTGAATGAATCGGTTTTAGGCATATTTATTGATCGCAATTTTTGTGTAGTGGAGAAAATGGAAAAGTTTTGTTTTAAAGTGGACTCCTCGTAAATTGATGTCTTTCTGGGGGCAAAAGTAAATTAGAGTAAAAAAAAAGTATGCACATTTATAGTTTGTGTGGATTCCTAACTTTTGGTATATATTACTGTTTAAAAAAAGAAGTAGATTGGATTTTATCCTGCTATTTAAGAACAGTGACATTTTATTAGAGGACGGTTTTAAGGTGATGATGATGATGACCCCTCTGCTCTGTGTGGTGTACATATGTATGTAACTTGACAACCAATCCGCGTCCACCATGTACACATATCTTTTATTTAATTTGTTTGTACCAAATATACAACTTGTCCTTATTAAAGTGAGAGAGATGAAGGAGATCTCATTCGACGCGGAACCGTGGGGACAATAGTATTTTAAGATAAAGTTTAATGATTAAGAAAATCCACACTTCTACTTCTTAGATGGGAAAAATGTCCCCACGGTTCCGCAGCCCCTGTGCGGGATCTGATGGTTCTAACTAACTTGTAGGCCGTGTATGCTTTTAGGTGTTGTTGTCGCATCGAGATCATTGATACTTTTCAGTTTTATTAAATGTGTCTGCATCTGCATTCTCTGTAACGGGTGCCCTTTTGCCAATTCCTCCTCCTCCTCCTTCTTCTCCACGCCGTCCAACGCTGTATTATTCTCAAGTCGAATTAAATTCAATGCCTATTTACAATTTGGCATAGGCGAGAATTAATTTAAGTCGAGTTCATTTCACAAGATCCAAACAAGTTTGACAACATTTGTAGATCTCTACAATACATGAATGCTTATAAACTTGCAAGAAAGAACTTTGACTAAATCCGTCTTCGTGGTCATCTTCATCTCGTACTAATTTTTCAACTCTGATCATCATCACCACCATCACGGCTATGATTGAAATGAGAATAAAAGAAACCATAAAATAGTTACCTTATAGCCACCGATTATTATTATTAAGCTCCATTTAAGGCCCTCAGACCATATGTAAACCCGGTAGAAGGAAGGAGAAGAAAAAAATGATTATTGCTTAAATAGTAGTGGTGCTGATCTATTCTTTTGAAATTGTCAAGTCAATCCTTACCCATGGACACTCAACAACAATTACATTATTACACCATGCATGCACGCCAACAACCAAAATAGTGCAATCAATGCAGGCATACAATCCTTTTATGATGACAAGTATCTAATCGTACCGTATGAATGACGGCGATATAATTTACCATTCGGTTCAACGTCTTTAAAGTTTTGCACCTCCACCTCCGACTAGTTCATATATTATTTCATTGACAATACTTCACCACGAAAAAAATCGACTAGACTGCCAAGAAAGAAAAAATGTTGCCAATCAATTTTTCACCTGGCAAAAAAGTGGAGATGTTCATAATAAAAAATCGGTGTCATGTCATTCATTTCATATTCCTTTAGAAAAAAGAGTCAGAGTCGATTTTCCTATCAAAAAATTAACGTGAATAACTAGTCCCTCTCCTAATCAGTGTGGTTATCGTGTGGTTATCTGGTGGTTATCATGAAGGGCGACGAAAATCCAGGAGGAGGGGAGAGGTGAAAGCAGGTTTTTCACTACACTGGGCTCTCGACAGTGGCGGCGTGCAATGAGTTTGGCGCTGAATTCTCCTCTCTTCCCATCTGGATGGCTCTGCGAGGTTAAAAGATTTTGAGGCTACGGTGCGAAAAGTGTTGCTGGGACGAGAGAGTAAAAGTCTGCTCCTTCCATTTTGATCGATTTTGTGGCCATCTCCTCCCTGTAGACGAGTCAGGCAGAGGTTCTGGTTGCTCCTCTGTGGTAAAAGAACTTCTGCTCCTGCATATTTTGCATAGACGGATCCGGGCAGTCAGACCAGCCAATATCAGCACCATCACCACTTTTTACTATTGCATACCCCAGTACTGTACCCTAACTAAGCAGACCAGCAGCAGAGAACCAAGCTTTGCAACATTTGCTTCACAACATTGCATTGATGAACACCATGCAAACGCTCCACTTGGTATTGCAACATCGCTAGGAAAGGAACACACCGCACCTTACCTTACATACACATTACCAGCAAGTAAGCAAGCAAGCAACCTCAGCAGCAGAGAGAGAGACAAGTTTAATATCAACACCAATAAGAGACAACCAAGTCGAGGAAAACCAAGTGTTTCCTCTCTCTGCGAGAACTATTACTTTACTCTGCGTCACTATATTTTCCCTACGACCTACCGCTACTCTCACTACCACTATTATTACGCAAATTGAGGGATAACACCTTATCCAAATGGGGACGGAGTGAAGGATTACAAAAGTAAGGCGACCTAACAAGTGACCGACCCACCGACCGGTGCGGTGTGTATGTGTGTGTACAACAAACAATTGCTTGGGATGATGTCAATAAGAAGAGGGGTAAAAAAGGAGGTGATTATTTTATGTGTTCGTGCCAGTGAAGAAAGAGAAGAAGACCAAGAAATTTTATAATTTGGGGCAATTGAGAGAAATATACTCGACACTGATTACCATTACGTTAATAATTTTAACCAGAATTTTCCTCATTGCTGACGACGAACGGAGAACCATTTTACTTAATACATTGCACTGCACATATAACTTCCCTTTTAAAAAGTGGAACAATCTTCTTCTTCCCAGCTAGTTATTTATTTACTTAGGGTCAATCCAGCACTGCGGCGAATTGTCACACACACACAAGAAGATACCAAAGAGAAAAATCTTCCTCGTCATCATCGAGAAGAAGGAACGACGAGGAGTTAATTGGTGAATGTATGGTGTAGTAGTGGTCGGGCGAGAAGAAGAGGCAGCAGGACAGAAATATTTCGTGTCACTCACTTCACTTCAATACTCTTCGGAGGAGAGAGAGCGAGATTCGTCAGATTGTGCAAAATATAAAGGCCATCAGCATCATCATCAAACTAAAAAACTTCATCTCCACTACTCTAATTCTGACTCCAGACCTCACCAGACTGGACCAGACTGAGAAGAAGAAGAAGATTCACTAACTGACTAATAACTGCCATATTTTTATTACACCAATTAATACACTACACTATATACCACTCCTTCTTGGGATTAGTAAAAACATCGCAAAATTTATCATCGTTCTTCCTCTCTTAAAGAATTCCTAATAAATTGCCAAACACCTCATTGATCGATTTCGTCCTCCATTAAATCATACTATGAACTGAGAGACCTGTTTGAAACAAAAACTGAAATTATAGTAGTTACTAATATATTGGGGAAAAAAAAGTGGAATTGTTTTTCGTTTTTAACTGAACCATGCGCACCTCCTTTTCGCCGAGGTGTTATTCCTCCTCCTCCTCCTCATCATCCTCCTCCACCACTTCTTCTTGTTCCGCTGCTGCAGATTCTAAAGTAATTGTTAAGTCGTCGCCATCTTTAATGGATGCCTGTCACCTTATCAGAGTGGGTGGCGTTGCCGGAATCCAGTGCTGACGACTGGCTAGTCTTTGCTAGGAGTAATTGGATTGTTTATCAGAGAACCAAAGTGGGGGTGATTTTTGACCATTTCGAGGTGATCGAACACGGTGCGTGTGTGTTGTTTCGTGAGTAGTTTGTTGGTGGTCGTTGTTCGTGGTTGAGAGGAAACGGTCCGGGGGGACCGACACGTTGGTTGGTGTATCACCAAAAGTTTTAGAGTTTGTTGTTGTAATTGTTGTTTGTTACCCATTTCTCGTACTCGTCCTTCCTCCTCCTTCCTTGGCGTAAATACCGCGGGGTGGGTGGTGCAAGAAAGAAAAAAAAGCCTTATACTTATCGACGACGACAACTCGTCTCCTCCAGTGTTCCTTCTCTTCTTCTTCGTCCCCAGAATTGGGCGATATTATTGAAATATGGGAAATGCAGCGACAAAAAAGGGCGATCCGGCGGAAAATGGTAAATTATTATCCCAATTAATTATCTCTGTATCCATTTATTATGTTACACGTATGTAAATGTGGTCAGTCAGTGTGTTATACTTATTGTATCATCATATTATTACTCATATCTCTATGTATGTATATATATGTATCCCTCCCTTTTTAATATTTATTTATTTAACTAATTACTCAATAATACCGCTTATTTATATTTAATTCTTCACGACTTTATATAACATAACATGACTTGATATGATGTGAATGATGGCTTATTCTTTTCCGCTTTGCCTGAGCCTATCTATACACCTATCAATTTTTAATTGATATTGACACACCCACCACCACCGAAAGTTTACTTACTCATCCATCCATCCATATATCACGTTTGACTTAACCTTGACGTAATAATCATACAGTTTGCTGACTGCTGTTTGTTTGCACTTTGCTGACTTTGAGCCGCTGTCTCCCGAAATTGCAATTAGCCATCCATCCAGCTAAATATGTTGGTATTTCTTCGTCGTCGTCGTCTTCTTCTTCTTCTTTATCGTCATCACCACACGGCGGATACGTATATATTTATTTTCGACCTTTCCGTTTGATGACGTGTTAAAAAATGTTCCATATAAAATGTATATTTTAACGAAAATGCGAAAAATCCATATTTTGACGTTTTTCGTAAATATTTCAATGTCTTTTTCACAAAAATGTCTGTCAATTTTGCTAAATACATATCCACCGTCTGGTCATCACACGTATGTAAAGTATTAAGCAAAGCACCATCCATCACTCGGAGGAGTAGGGGAGCAAGTAATATGTACTCCAGCGATGAACTTTAGACTTGTGTCTACACAAATAAAACAGAATAAACAACATTAGCCGAGAAGGAAGAGCAGTATTATAGCACGACTCATAATATAATTGCGGAGAAGATTTCTGCAAATCAGCAAAACTAAATTATTTCACTACTCTAGAAGAAAACGGTTATGGGAGGAACAATATTTTCCTAAGCATTACGATGTTTTGTGTAGTAATGATTAATGAGGGATACGGTATTAGAGGGGCGATTAAGCACCACACAACTCGACATACGTATACCTTTTCCTCGGTTAAATCGCACATTTGCGAATTTATATATTTGTTTATTTATACACGAATCCGGACAAACATTGATCATCTGCTTTGGGACAATTGTAATCCATCCCTGCTGCTGCAGAATAACAACAGAATGAAAAGTTGAGGCGATAAGAGAAGCCATTTTATCAATGATAAGATAGACCATTATTTTATTTGCTCTACTACACACATATACACACACAGGGTTGTTGTCGGTCCCTTTGATTCGGCTGGATTTCCTCCGCTCCTCGTTAACTTTACAGAATTCTATTTACTTTCCCTAATTCGCTCGACACTGTTTTACTTAAAGAGTGACTGAGTGATGTGATGTGTTGTTATTTACACTGGTAACCTTGCTTTTAATATTTACCATTTGCCACTACACAGCACACACATACACACACGCAATAGACGACCAAAGTAAAAGTAGAGTGTGTTGGTTGGTGGTTTGAAAGAGCAAACAAAAAAAAACGGGATAAAAAGAAGTCAAGTGTGTCCTCGAGGAAATTTTATAGGGCTCTTTTTCCCCCTTTGTTTTTCCCACTCGAGTCACAAAAGAGAAAATAGGACCGAAAGTGGGTTTTATTCTCCCTGGAAAAGTTTTCCAATCCAAATTTATTAAAAAAAAGAAAAGGGTTCTCGACAACTTTCACCATTCAATTTCATCGCCTTTTCCTTGTCGTCTTGTACTCGATTTGATTTTATGAGGATGCTCGTCTCGTTTATTCCATATATTTTTTTTTTTACATATGTCTCGTTCCTATACATCCGGTAATAAATAGGGCGTAATTAGTTGTATTATTGTGATGGCTTTCACCTTGGATGAGTTTTTCTTTTCATTTCTCGCTTTTTCTAGTTAAAAAAACTCTTACTTTCATTGCAAGTGTTGCGTCTGTATCGTTCATTCGTAAATCTGTGGATTTCATTTCATCCAATGTTTATAGGAATTGAGTGGGCGGTGAAGTATATGATTTGTGCTAGAAATTCAATTCAGCACTTGTATGTTGTCCTGTTAACACGAGGGGTTTGTTTTGACAGAACAATTATTACAACAGTACGGCACAATTTGGCAAGTCGTAGAAATGCGAGGTATTCAGTAATTGTTTGTGTGTGGGGGTCGGTTTTCGACGGTCGAACAAATCTAAATCCGAATCCCGTCAAGTTTTCTCTTCACAAACAGCACACAGAGATACAAAACTTGTTTGTTGTTTGTTACGCTGGAGTTCATTATTTGTCTTCTCGCTTTCTCCTAACGAGGCAGTCAGCGAGTGAACAAGGGGCTAATTTAACTAGAGAATAATAATGCTTTTGTGTCGTGAGGAAGTATTGTTTTCATATTAATTTGACGTACCTGAACTGGAAGGAAACACGAGAATCAACAACAGATTTACATTTCAAAACAGAGAGGAGATGGAGAATAATAATCCATCATGTTGATTCATGTCATGTTCATGCATACACAATAATGTCCAAATTCTAAGAGAAAGTTTAAACTTGTCGGATCATATCGTTCCTACTCATCGCTTAATTTGAGGATTTTCCACTGCTCCGATAAACACGTCGTCAAAGAAGAAAATGTGAATGATTATTATTTCAGTTCCTACAAAATCACCTGTTTTTTTTCCTTGATTGTAATGGTTTCAAGTTTAGGATGATTTTTTCCATCTGTTTTTTTAGAGAAGAAGAAGACGATCGTTTTTAGTTTCTTCTTCCTCCTCCTCCAACCGTTTTGCATAGATTGCTGTGTATGTGTGTGATTGTGTGCGATTTTTCCGAGATGAGAAATGGAGGAAGAAGCATGAGAAGAATATTTTTAGAACATTTAACGTACGAGACTTGTGTTAATGCGATAATGCCATGATAAAAAAGGAGAAGAAGTGACATGGACATTTTTTAGAGGGAGGGTTTCATTGCAATGCAGTGGTACAGTCCGTCCCATTTATATGGATGTACGAGGTCTGTATCTTCATCCTGTGCTCTGCTGCTGCTGGTGCTTCTTTATATTTTCGAGCAGTCATTTCTTAAAACCAGTTAGCATTTATTTTACCAATATGTAATTGTACGCAGATATGTATGCACAACAGGACCAGATACGTGTGGAGAGAACAGAAGGAGACATTAAAAATAGAAATTTTCATACCATTCTGTACAATTTGATGTCATTAGATAGATGATTCGTATGTCATAAAGAAAGAAGCCCAGAATCGGGGAGGAAATCGAGAAAATCATCATAAAATATGGCGACGCTAAATAAATTTTTATAGTCTTTTAGTCCCCACGAAACGAAACGAAACGAAACACTTGACTGCTTCCCAGCTTAATTATAATTAAGCTCCAGCCAAACTAAATACCTGCCGCTTGCAAAAACAATTTTCCGAATAATAACTAAACATGATACCATAACTAAATAATAAGTAAGTAAATAATCCCTCTGTTTTGACCTCGGAGAAGAATTATAACCCGACCGAGGAAGGAGAATAACAACTTTCTTCTCCCAATTCCCTTTGATTTTTGCACAACAACAACTCCGCAATTCTTCTCTTTGCTCTCGTGACAATTAATTATTAACCAAGCCGACTCATCATCTCGTCGCGTTTTCCTGGCTGGATTCTTCCTCTTCTTCTTTTGATGATCTGATTTACCGAGTAACTACTTTACCGTTTGCAACCAGGTATCCAAATCCTAATGCTGGCACAATGATAAATAACGAAGCGAAACCAAGGACAAAAGAGCTTGTCTTATTATCTATTACTAAACTCTCTAAACAGTGTGGCTGCGTGTGTGTGTGTATGTGGCAGGCTGTTGTGGGCGACTATTTACTAATAACTAATCCTAAATATTATTATGTACTACAACATATTTCCTCCTCTTCTGTTCACGCTGTGAAAGATATTGGGCCTCCTCAGACACACGAAAATATCGTCGCTTAGAATTTCGCTTCGTTTTTCGCTTATCGATAGCATGGCCAAAATTATAAAAATTGCAAAATTTTGTTCCGACTGTAGCTGACCGACCTTAACCTCACATCTGAGTTGAGTTTCTGTTCGCTTGCCCCAGAGCTCGCTTATCAGGAAGTAAGCGAAAAACGATGCGAAATTCTAAGCGACGATATTTTTGTGTGTCTGAGGAGGCCCATTATGCTTTTTGTTTAACGATTTTGGTAGTACTAGTAGCGGTTTGGTTGGTGGTGGTGGTAGTATTACTACATATTTACTACGTTATACGTACTAATACTACTACTACTACTAAATATTTGGTGAGTGAGTGAGTGAGAGATACATAGACGGATAGATTTATTATAGGATTTAGACAGAAATTGCTAGTATTTACGAAAGGAAAGTCATCATCATCTCATCATGGCGTCCTTCTACTACTTCTTCTTCTTCTTCTTATAATACTAACAAATTTGGCCTCCCGCTCTCTCATTTGAAATTAAAATAATTACTACTTAAACTCGACTTATTAAAACCTATTCTTGTCGCGTTTCTTGTTTTTGGGTTGTTTTTCATTTCACTCTCTCTAGCGCGGCATCATCTCATCTCCAGTTCCAGAGTGAAGTGAGGGCATCATTATGAAAATCGTCGTCGATCTTCGACAGAAAAAAAATCCATATTTTTATAAAATTCTCATACATGTGGATTTCTCAGTATGTTTATAAAAGTATTTTTGTCTCTTGGAAATCAGGTGGTTCGAATCAGAAGCCTCCAGACAGTGGTTAGTACCTTTTTTCGGAATATATATTTTATACAAAAAAAACCTTTTATTTTTTAGATGATTTTCCTCCACTACTTTTTTTCCTCTTACTTACTTAGCAGCTCTCTTACTTTCACACAGCCTCACAGTTTTTATTTACAGGCAGAACAAGAAATAATTAATACTTAATTATATAAAGCGATAACAAAA